CATCCAGTCCTTGGGCCTGGGTGCATAAATTAGGTTTAACCATAACAAAACTCTTTTTCAATAACTTGCACGCTTGCCATTTAATCCAGAAGCATTTGTTTCGCTTTGGGGCTTCTAAAATGTCTCCTGTCTTTCATCTTGAGCTTCTAATAAGTTTCCTGATTTCTAGCTACCAGAAAACAAATCTGCTCGCTGGATGTCATATGATCAGTGTCATGACATTCATTATGACATCCAACACAACTTACTCATAGCTTTCCTTGCATAACACTCTTCATGTATGTCCTAACATCAGTTATGATATTTACTCATACATCAATGTTTTGCCATAAAATGCAGCCAATCAAAAGCACTTACAATCTTCAACCTTGATCATACTGCAAATCATTCTCTGCAACTCATCACTCTCCAATATCTTACCATACCTAAGCTTCAAATAATCCATTGTTGAGAAAGCTTCACCTTGTAGCTTGCCACAACAAGAGATTAGTCTAAACACTACTATACACTACACTCCACTCTAATCAACAACGACATACAACACCAGTTCTAATTCCTACAGACTAGAGTTCAAGAAGAAGAAGAAGAAGAAGAAATACTGCGAAGGAAAAAGGTTGAAGATTCAATATATTTACCTTTGATCTTCTTTATTCATCAACTTCGTCTTCAATAAAATCCAAGGTAGTCTCCGCCTTATAGGTAACTCCAAACACCATCTCCTTGCTCCAATACTCTTACCACAATGTAGTGTTTGAGTATCCGAACCAAACCCTTAAGGTTTGAGTTTGCATTAAACCTCCATCTTATTTTAATTTTGTTTTCAAATCATAGGGTTCATGGCTATTTAGCTTGATTTTGAGAAATTTAGTGAGGTGGTGGTGAAACAAATACGAGAATAGGAGACAGAAGAGTGAGAGGAAACTTTTGATGGCTGTTTTAGGTCAAACTGATTGCTCCGTCGCCTCCGGTGCGGAGGAGCAATTTTTGGTGGGTGGCGATAGAGAGAGGGAGAGAGAGGTTAGGCAAAGCTAAGGATGAATGAATGTGAGTGATATGAAATTTCCTTCACCCCCTAGCATTTCCCGTTGGGCCTCACTACCCTAGGCCCATATATTTACTACATCATACATCCAAATTGCTATTACACACCCCACGTGAATGCTTGATGAATAACAAACCACAACTAGCCACCTTGGGCCTTCATTGCTTGGCCTAACACCAATTTTGCTGGCCATACAACAACTTGATCCAATGGACTCCCACTGCATAATTCTTTATTTCCTTTGATTATTGATATCTTTTTCCTTTTAATTCTCTTACCACATATTTTTCATATGCTACAAAAATACATAAAATACATACACATATACATTTTTTAATCACCTTAAGAATAATACAT